GGGAACCAGGATAAAGGTTGTATCTGAACTTGAAAAGCTAAGTTTGTTTTCCAGTTTCTGATTAAGTAGGGCGGGGAGTTTATATAAAGAGGTGCGTGACCGTGAACAATTTCATTAAAACGAAAAATATTTAATTCTTTTAATTACTTGCACCACAGATTTCTTTTTTATACTTTAATCTTATACCAAGATTTATGACTGTTTACGTTTTTTTGACAAAATAATTTTATTAAACTGGATAAAGTTAGTTTTAATATATGTTCATGACTCATTTTTATTTTGATGTATATTGTACCGGACCATTTGAATTGTGGGGATTTCTTGATTCTTACTCATTATTTTTGCAGAAATCCATAATAAACGCAATCTCATCTTCTTACACATTCTAAATTTCTTTTATCTCTAAGTTTTAACACAACTAAACACGTGGTTTAAACTCTAGTTTTCGTCTATTCTTTCTTAAATATTTATGAACTTACAAAAGAAAAGAAAATTGTCTCTAAAAATGTGTGCGCTATACTGTACTGAACTATACTTCTGTACTGTACTAACAAATACTCTATTCTACTATGTAATGTAATTATTTTACGGTTTCCGTTTATTCTGTACTGTACTGTACTGTAATGTACTGTACTGCAATAAATTGTACTGTACTGTACTGTACTGTACTATACTGTATTGTACTATGCCATACTTTACTTTGCTGCATTGCCCTTGTACTGTGCTGTACTGTACTGTACTGTACTGTACTGTACTTTACTGTACTGTACTTTACTGTACTGTACTGTACTGTACTGTACTTTACTGTACTGTACTGTACTGTACTGTACTAAAATGATATTCCAGGGCCCAAAAGGTTATATAGCATAAATATGTGAAGTACACCTGCAGTATGGAAACAGTACAACAAAATGGCCGTTTTACACTTTTTTATAGTAAATTACCCTCTAATATATATTCTATTCTCTTTGTGTACTGTACTGTACTTGTACTGTACTGTACTGTACTTTACTTTACTGTACTGTACTGTACTGTAATGTACTGAACTGTACTGTACTGTACTGTACTGTACTGTACTGTACTGTACTGTGCTGTACTATACTGTACTGTACTGTACTGTACTGTACTGTGCTGTACTGTACTGTACTTTACTGTACTGTACTGTACTGTACTGTACTGCACTGCACTGTACTGTACTGTACTGAACTTTACTGAACTGTACTGTACTGTACTGTACTTTACTTTACTACACTTTACTGAACTGTGCTGTACTGCACTGCACTGTACTGTACTGTAGTTTACCGTACTGT